GTGTGTTATTTTGTCAAGTCAACAAAACCAAACTTTTCCCACTTGCTTGAGACACCTGGCCTATCAAGAAGAACTTTTTCTTCTCCCTTATATGTATTTGGTTCTCTCTTCTATATACGTACACAAATTCTTATCTTTTAAAACTTTTATGTTTAGCCTTCTCAGTTTAATGACACGTTAAAGATAATAAGATTTTAAATTGTTGTTCTAAACGTCAATATCACATAAGAGGGGATGATTTGTGTGATACTCAATTTTCACTCTAGAAGAACCTGGTTCTTCTAGGTGTACTAACTACTACTGTTTGCAGAATAATAAGTACATAAAATAAAGAACACAGAGATTTTTACGTGCAAAACACCTGGCTCAAAAGGTGAAAAAACCACGACCTACTACTCAGTAGGATTTTCCCAAACTTCCGCTAAAATCACTGAGCCAAAACGGCATTTACAAAACTCTTTGTAAACCTAAGGATTAACTCTAATCCCGTTGTGGCACACAGCCTCAACTGTTGCGACAACTTCAAGTTAGCTTATAACTTGAACATTCTAGGTACCTAATACAATTGCTCCTATGAAAGCTCATAGATACAATTTTAAACCACCTACTACAATTGAACTAGAATAAAAGAAATACACAATGGAACTGATTCTTCTATCTCGTTCAAGTAGCTTCAGGAGTGCACACTCAAATCTCACATAAATTGCTTGCGAAATCGCCTTGCTCTTTTGCTCTCAGTTTAGTTTAACTTCTGCGTATGTGCAATACCTGTAAAAGAGAATAATCACTGTCTTTTAATGGGTTAGTAATCAGAGTTTGATTGGGACTCAATTTGCTGATCTTCTATCGTAGTTAAGTCCTTAAAGATCTCAAATTCCAACACTATCTTTATACGGATTGTGTTCTCTTCGTATAAGGAGACTTTCTCCCCTTATCCAATATGCAACCTTTTCGATCAGATCAGAAGATATTGCTGCTTGACCAGTAGGACTTATCTCCTTCACGTGCATCTCACATGTATAGGTTGAGCATGACTGTGCTTTACACGATGGACCTGGTCCATGACTGAGTTCATTTGTCATTCTTCAAAACTTCACCTGTTCTTGGGCCAACAAATTCCCCCTTTTTGATGATGACAAACTCTGTGTGTTTTACTGATTCGAAACCTGTAAGAACTCAGCTTAACCATCAACACTAAATTTAGAAAATTCACTTATCATTAAGGACCAGGTTAATTAGGTTATAAACATCACTTATTTTAGAATATGTAAAGCACAAGATCTCTTCCCCCTTTTGGCATCATCGAAAAGTTGCATACACAATGTGAATCCCAGATTTTAATAAATACTCATGGCCACTGGGGCAACTGCAAGTGCAATCATTGGGCAATCATCAGCAATCAACAAACATATTTAAACTATCAAGGTCAGAATAAGCATTGAGCAAGAGAAAACAGCAGTTGTCATTGATAGAGATATGTTGCCACCAACAATCCACAAAAAGAAAGAAAACATTCAACCGTGAGAAAAAAATATAAAAATCCCTAATCTGGGTCACTGGGGTACTAGACAAGTTCAGGAAACAAAGGCTAGGAGTCATAAGGCTTGGAGGAACATGAGGGTTGAGTTTGGAGAAGATTATGCATGTTCTGAAGAATTCCATCATTCTTCTCCTTTTCTTTGGCAAGCTCAATTCTAAGACTATCCCTCTCAGTTTCCACTTCAACCTTACGAGCCTTGAGCCTAGCAATTTCAGCATTCTTAGCTGCACATTCCTGAACCAAAGTTCTAACTTTGCTGTTGATGGATGTCTTCAGAGATGAACCAGGTTCAACAGGGATGGCATGGACTGGATAGTCACAGGCAAGAAGAGTTTTGATGCCAAAGTGTTCCTTGCTCGGTGCCATTTCCCATTTCTTCAGAGGCACATTTAGCCTATCCAGAACTATGGTCAATATGAAGCCATATGGATTAGCATGAGCCTTGGAGCCATTTATGACCCTGTCTAGCAATTTGAAAATGAGGGCAGGCCAGTTGATTTGCTTTCCTCTCTCCAGGCACTCCATAAGAACCAGGTCCATATAGTTAGCAGTGTGCCTTCTCTCCTGCCTGGGCAATAAGCACTTGTTGACAAACTCAAACAACAACCTTGTGCTCAGGCCTCATCTCACTTTTCTGCACAGCCCTGACTTCATTCACTTCCTCTAGATCACAGAACCTCTTGGTGATTTCAAGGGCAGTAGGGAGGGAGTCCAGGCATGGCCACCTTTTGCCTAGTATAGTCATCAAACCCTTCAGAGGGTATGTCCAGAATCTCTCCCAGTTTCTCTGCATCAAACTTCACTGGGACTCCCTTCACCAGGCTACTAACAACTCCATCCTTAACAACAGCATTTGCCATAAACTCAATCAGCCACTACTACAAAATGGGCCTACAGCAACGATTTTTTAGCAACAGTTCACAAAACGTTGCAATAGACTGGATATAGTAACGGGTACAACCGTTACAATAGGATTGGGGTGATATCAGCACACTTTAACTATACAACCGTTCCAGTTGTATTGGAACTGTTGCAATAGAGTATTTTACCGCAACGGTGTGTACACCGTTCCAATAGACCGATCTATTGGAACGGTTCCGAAATTATTTATTTTTATTGGAACGGTTTTCATTCCCTCTTCACTTTCCCCCCCCCCCCCAAAAAAATTTGGTACACCTGCCAAATGAGTCCCATTTTTTTACTTTTTATTTTTTGATTAATTTTAATAATATAAAACTTAAAATTATAATCTTTATTTTCCCTTTTCAGAGACGCTCACCTGTATACGCACAGTAACGAGACCATCTCCAAAATCCTCTCAAAATCCATTCCTCAAAATCCTCTTTACCTAAAATCCAAATTCAGACGCTCCCAAAATCCTCTCAAAATCCATATCCTAAAATTCTCTCACAGACGCTCACCTGTAGATTCATCTCAAAATCCTCACTTTCCCTGTAGATTCATCTCAAGGATAGACCAAAATCCCCAAATTCCAAAATCTACTTTATGGTCAATTCGAAGATGATGTCCAAAGGAAGCTAGGTTTTCGTGAAACAAGCCGATTCTTGATTGTGGAGGTTCTTAAAAAAGGAAGATTATTGTTGCATGTCTTCTGATTATTCAGAGAGGTATGTTGATCTCATTCCAAATCTTCACCTAGGTGTTGTTAGAATTAGGCTTTCAATATTGGTTTATTTCTTGTGCTTTTTGATTTCAGTATTGTTTCTTAATATTTGATTAGTTTGGTTTGATGTAATTTTATTTCTTTCTCCTTTTCTCTGTTACGTTGGTATGCCCAGTGGGTATTTGTTCTTTCCTCTCAGTTTCTGTTTGCTTCAACTAGCACTCTATTAAGAAGGGAGCATCACACATATATGCGAAATATCAACTTTTGGGGGAAAATAAAAACAACATTCCAAATAAATATGTATATGTAATTGAAGCCGGAAGTAGCTTTTATTTAGTACCAGGTAATGTTATTGGAAATGGGAGAAATGATGTTTTCCTAAAATCGATGTAATTTAACGATGTAAAAACGATATTGGTGTAAAAACGATGTAATTTAAATGTATTCTATTTCAACGTTCTGCTCGTTGCAATTCTTTAGCATCCCGTGTTTTCCTTGAAGCTATTTTTGATGTTATTTCTTAATATGTTCCAAACTTGTTATCTTATATCTAAAGTGGTAGGGCCAGATAGTTGGTTGGTAGCTGCTCCACTTTACAACCCAAAACATTTGCCAGATCATCAATACAATGCTCAACATTAATACTAAACACATTACTCTTTGCCAAGTTCACTTTCAGTCCTGAGACAGCTTCAAAAGCTAGTAGTACTCCTCTGAGGTGTAAGAGTTGCTCTTTTTCAGCTTCACATAATATCAATGTATCATCAGCATAGAGTATGTGTGAGACATACAGTTCTTCCCCTTCAATTTTTTCTAATTTTCAATCCTCTAATCCATCCTAACTTTTCAGCTTTTAACAACATTCTGCTAAAGATTTCCATCACCAACAAAAATAAATAAGGGGATAGTGGATTCATCCAAATTTTGTAATTCATCCAAATTTTGAAAAAATCAGGAACATGCTCCTTCAAAGCGCCTTCAGGCATAAGCTCATTCATATTAAATTTGAGTTCCACCACAAAGAGAGGAAGAGGATGAGGATTAAAATTAAGAAATATAATTTAAAACAGACAATATATAAGATTAGAAAAGATTGATTTATTAAGGTAGTGGAGTTGGAATCTAATTTACAAGTTTAGAAAGGGCTACAATGTAAAGTTTATAGGAGTAAATTAAATGGAAGATTAGGAAAGATATGATCAGGGACCTTAATAGTAAGATATAGGAAAGAACCTAAAAGCATTGAATCCGGTGAGTTTCTAATAGAGCAACATAAGAACCTAGGAACAGAAAACATTTGAAACAGAGCAAAAGACTAATCCAGTATGTTGCTTCTATTGTCTTTAAGAGCTTAGAATTTTAAGGTACTATTAGATTACAAATCTGTTCTCTAATGGTTTTATCATTCTTTCTCAATGTAAAAACTGCTTTACTATTTGTAACTCTTTGACTTCATCCCCTTTAAGTTTTGGTCAATGTCAAATTAGTATGTACCTTGGTTTATTAAGTTAATTTTGTTGATTACTTTTGTCGTATAGGAATTTCATGGATAAAGTAGATAAAAGTTGGATGCATCTCCTAAGATGGACGGATGAGTATATATGTGGAGTAAATGATTTTCTTGCTAAGGCATTTGAACGAGCTTCACAAGGAAATGAAATATTATGTCCTTGCCAAAAGTGAATTAATCGCAATTGGCATTATAGAAATCTGGTGGAGGATCACTTGGTCGTTAATGGCTTTATTGATGGTTACACCGAATGGGTTTTCCATGGTGAAGGATTTTCCTCTAGAATTACACCTCATCAAAGCAATAATGATGAAGGTTCTAACATGCATGATGATATTGATGGATTACTTCACGACACATTTAGAAATATAGAAGGTGAGCCGGTACAAGAAGAAGGGATGAGAAAGGCTTTATCTGAAGATGCTAAGAGATTTTTTAAATTATTAGAGGAAGGGAAACAAGAATTATATCCAGAGTGTGAAAAATTCAGTAAATTGAGTTTCACCATCCGGTTGTACTTGTTTAAGTCTTTGCATGGGTTGAGTAATGTAGCCTTTTCAGACTTGTTAGAGTTGTTAAAAGAGGCATTTCCCCTTGCTAAGCTGCCAGAGTCTTTCAACAAGGCTAAAAATATGATAAAAGATTTGGGTCTTCATTACGAAAAAATACATGCATGCCCTAATTATTGCATGCTATTTTGGAATGACAATGCAAAGGCCGATAATTGCTCTGTTTGTGGGTCTTCTAGATGGAAACGTTCTAATCGTGCCTGGACTAATACAAGTTCTAAAGTTCCTGCAAAGGTTTTAAGGTACTTTCCCTTGAAGCCTAGGCTTCAGAGGATATTCATGTGTCTTGAAACAGCTATTGCAATGAGATGGCATGCTAATGAACGACCTAATGATGGGAATTTGAGGCATCCCGCTAATGGAGAAGCATGGAAGGATTTTGAGTCTCTACATCCTGACTTCTCTAAAGATCCACGCAATGTTAGGTTGGGTCTTTCAAGTGATGGTTTCAACCCATTTCGAACCATGAGCATTTCTCATAGCACGTGGCCTGTCATGTTAATGAACTATAATTTATCACCATGGATTTGCATGAAGCCAGAATATATCATGTTGTCAATGATCATTCCAGGTCCTTCATCTCCAGGAAATGATATAGATGTGTACTTACAACCACTTATTGCAGAATTGAAGGAACTATGGGAAACTGGGATAGAAACATATGATGCTGAGACAAAGCAAACATTTCAAATGCGTGCAGCCTTGTTGTGGACAATTAGTGATTTTCCAGCATTAGCTATGCTTTCAGGATGGATCACCAAGGGGAGGTTGGCATGCCCCACTTGTAATTATGACACATGCTCTCTATATCTCAAACACAGTCATAAGATGTCTTACATGGGCCATCGAAGATTTTTGCCGCATGATCATCCTTTGCGGAAAGAAAAGAAATCATTTGATGGTAAGGAGGAACATAGACCTGCACCCACTCCTTTGTCGGGTTTAGAAGTGTTTCAAGAGCTGCTTGAATTCAACAATGTTTTTGGAAAGGGCAAAAAGAAAAGACCTCGGGATAACAAGGGTCCGTGGAAAAAAAGATCTATTTTTTTTTGAATTGCCATATTGGGTGCATAACAAATTGAGGCACAATCTTGATGTGATGCACATCGAGAAAAATATATGTGACAGTTTGTTTGGGACTTTATTGGAAATAGAAAAAAAGTCAAAGGATCATGTAAATGCTCGCTATGACTTAAAAGAAATGGGGATACGAGAGGAGTTACAACCAAGAGAAGATGATGATGGATCAGTGAGTTTGGCTAAAGCTTGTTTCTACATGGAACCAAAACAGAAAAGTATATTTTGTACCGTCATAAAAAATGCCAAGTTACCAAAAGGTTGTGCTTCAAATATTTCAGAACGTGTGCAAGTGAAGGAGATGAAAATATCAGGGTACAAGAGTCATGATGCTCATTTTATAATGCATTACTCGCTCCAGGTTGCTGTTAGAAAGGCGTTGCCCAAGAGTGTTTCATTGGCCTTGATTAGGTTGGGTAATTTTTTTAAAGCCATATGTAGTAGGTCATAAGGCGAAGAGATCTTGAAAAAATGAACTCCGAAATTGTTGAAATAAATTGTGAGCTTGAAAAGATTTTTCATCCAACATTTTTCGATATAATGCCACATTTGCCTATTCATTTGGTGAATGAAATTAAGCTTGGGGGTCCAGCTCATCTTCGTTGGATGTATCCCACTGAGAGGAACCTATGTAATTACAAGGCATTTGTTCGCAATCGATCTTTTCCAGAAGCATCGATAGCAGAGGGATTTTTGGCAGAAGAGTGTTTGATTTTTTGTTCAAGATACCTACATGACAGCGTGAAGACAAGATTCAGTAGATACCCAATTGTAGATGATGATTGCCCTCAACATTTGTCATCTATATTCCCTGTTATAGGCCATCCAATTGGAAGTAAGAAGAAAAATACTTTTCTCATGGATCCACAGTTATGTTATGAAGCACATCAATATGCTCTATTCAATACTGGAGATGAACAAGTGGAAAAGTTTATCGAGTAAGATAAAGTATATAACACTTATTCTATACGTTATTTTTTTAATGATATAATTGATCTTGAAATATTCATGATTGCAGGGAACATAAGAATTTAATTGGTAATCGCAGTAGATCAAATGCATGGGAAAGGGCAAGAAGTCATAGTCGGGAATAAAACAATTGGTTTGCTGAGAAAGTTAAAAATATTGAAGTGCCCAATTATATAAGATGGCTAGCTAAAGGGCCTAATGCGATCGCCAAAAGATATACTGCATATTTCATTAATGGATACCGATTTCATACCATAGAACGGGATTCCCGATGCAAGACTCAAAACAATGGAGTGACTTTATCGGCAACAACCGATAGCTTTGCTAGCTCTAGGGACCAAAATCCCATCGATGGTGAGGTTATCTATTATGGAGCTATTCAGGATATCATTGAGATTGATTATTGGGGTTGTTTTAGTGTTGTACTATTTAGATGCGACTGGTTTCGTAATGAAATAGATGAATATGGGTTAACCCGTGTGTACTTTAAGAAATTATGTAGTACAGATGACCCTTTTGTGTTAGCATCACAAGTTTATCAAGTTTTTTATGTGGAGGATCCTGTTGATAAAGATGTTTATTATGCAAGGATTAAAGTCCCTGTTGATTTATATGATTTAGATGAAGAGAATTGCCCCAATATTGAAGATGCATTTTGGAGGGAGCCTAATGATGACGTTGGTTCCTTAAGTGGATTAGTTGATGTTGATGTTGAGTTTGGATGCTCAAGAAACGATGTACCCGTTGATGTCTTTGATATTCCATCTAATGCACAACATTCACATGATACAATTATAGAAACATCGGAAGAGGAGAATGAGTTTGATGATACTGATTGGGACTGGATGGAATCAGATGATTAAAGAAGAAACTTCTTATATTCTTTTAAATATATTCTTTTTAGAGTGAGTAATAATATTTTTTATCAATATTTTATAATTACTCTTGTTTATATAATTTTAATTATTTATATACCCATAAGGCATTTCATGACAGTAGCTTGAAGAAGTTAATCTTTATGACCCTTTCTTCACTTCTAGTAGTTCCTAATCTTATGTGATAAAGGAAATGGTTAGTGTAAGTGATCCTGTAAAGAACGTACCCTCATGATCTATCCTTGTTCAAATAATTTTATCTATTAAGCTAAGCCAATGTGTTATAATGGACCATATACAAACTCATGTACTAAGTGGACCTATTTTCATATTTGTGTGTTAATGTACTGTGAGATGTTAGTTTAACTCCCTCTGCATAATGCAGGTTTGTTAATATATCTAATCTGGTCCAGATTTGGTTTCAACGGCCAAAAGACATTGTTCGGAAGTTGGTATCAGGAGATTTAGACCTTGGCATCATTGGTGTCGACACAATCAGTGAATATTGGCAGGTACGAACTAAGTGTTTCAGCTTATTTGTCCATATGAAGCATAAATAAGAGCCAATTATGATCCAAACAACTCAGATTACTTCTTCACAAAGTGGCTCAGTATCCTTGTAACATCTAGTGTTGCTATTGTCAAGCCTATAGCACATTGAGGCTGTATTTGCTGAACTTGTATCGTCATTTTCTTTGTCCAGTTGTCTTGAATTTTCCTCCCAGTAGTGCATGCTTTCATTAAATTTTTAGTTTTGATGAACTTGTATTGTCATTTGCTTTGTCCAGTTGTCTTGAATTATTGTGAGATGTAAGTTTAACTATTAAGGTGATCATGTCTTAGTGAGATGTGTGCATGCTCTTAGCTCTATTGTGAAACCAACAGAACATGTGCTTAAACTCCCTCTGCATAATGCAGTTTTGTTAATATATCTAATCCGATCCAGATTTGGTTTCAACGGCCAAAAGACATTGTTCGGAAGTTGGTATCAGGAGATTTAGACCTTGGCATCATTGGTGTTGACACAATCAGTGAATATTGGCAGGTACGAACTAAGTGTTTCCTTTTTTTAGAAATGGAAGTTTAAAAGATAAGAATATAAAGTTACCAGAACAACAGCATCTCTGGCAGCCATGATTAAAAGATCAGCACAAGAAGCATCACATCCCTACAAAAATAATACAAAAATTAACCCAAAACAAGGATTTTCAAATACAGCAAAAAAAAGGATTCTTGAAATTTTTACTATTATATTAACAAAGCAAGCATGAAACTGCAATCTCATCCCACTGAGGCTAAGCTTCTGGGCTCTCTTTTCATTGCTTTTTTCATCACATCTTTGACTATAAATTCAGCTTCTGGGCAAGACATTCTTGATTCTTGAATAATTTTTACTAGTGTTTAATTTTTGTATTGGTTCTTGAAAAGGGAGATGAATGGTACAGGGAAAATTCCTGATTTGCATGTGTTGTCAGTATTATATAGGGGAGACAAATAGGCCAATTGTGAAGAGTTTGTTTTGGTTGGGTGATAATAGGGTGTGTGGGGTATAGTCATGACCTCTGCATAATTTTGAAAATCAATTTTATCATTTATTTTCTGATTTTTCAACTAACTGAATCCCACTTGTTGTATGAGTAGCATTTAGGGGTAGTATTTTTGTTTACGGAAAAGGGTTTGATATATCCTTGTACTATGGTAAATTGTTTAAAATTATCCCCCGTTATACTATTGGGTCATAAAAGTCCCTACCGTCCAACTATCCTAACAAATCTGCCCTTATTTTGAAGGAAGTGCCACGTGGCCAGATTTAAAAAGAGGCAAGGATGGATGCCACGTGGCACTTCCGTCAAAGTAAGGGCAGATTTGTTAGGATAGTTGGACGGTAGGGACTTTTATGGCCCAATAGTATAACAGGGGACAATTTTAAACAATTTACCATAGTACAAGAATATATCAGACACTTTTCCGTTTTATTTATAATCATCTTGNGGGGAAAACGGTTTTCGTTCCGTTACGGTACTAAATTTAACTTACGTAACGTACGTACGTTAGTTGTAAGTTAACGGTTACTGTAAGATGTTAGTTTAACTATTAAGGTGATCATGTCTTAGTGATAGCTACTATCAAGCATATAGCACATTGAGGCTGCATGTTTAACTTGTTTTTGCTGCTTTTTGCTTCCATTTCCTGTAGCCTCCATCCGATTCTTGTTGTAGCCTTTGTGCATGAAATCTTAACATGTTTTGGAAGTTCACATACTACATAAAGTTGGAGTATTGATATTTCCTTCCAGAATGCCTCGCTTTTTCCTTGAACGTGCCCAATCCAGAGCTTATTTATATTTGTATCCTCTCTATCCAGTTGCCCACAGTTTTCAATAGATAAAGCCTCCAGCATTGTCGATCGTGTGTGAGCATGTCCTGTATTATTAATGATTCGTGTGTGAACATTATCAATGTAATGTTTTGCTGTTTTGTCTTTGTCTAGCTCTCTGTGTGATTTGTAATTGTCCAATATACCTTTAACTGAAAAATTCATGTTCTACCATGTTGGAGCAGTTGTGCACCTAGGTGAGATTGTCCATTTTGACAGTATTACCATTGTTAAATTGCTCTCCTCTTGGGGCAGATGGTCAAAATTATTCTCGAAACTTCTCCTACTCCTGCTGTGTGTTGTTGTATACATTGTTGGTTCTTAGAACTTCTTCCCTTTTCATAATATTTGACAGGAATTTGAATAGTCATGAATTAGGAAGGGCACTCAAGTAAAAACAAAAAAGCTAAAAATTGCATTGCAGCCGGATCACTTGCATCTTTGCTGAACCAAAAAGTTTCATCATCGAAAACAAAAAGAATTGGTCAATCTACAAGGACAAATGACAAGCATCATCTGAATTTAATTGAAAAACAACTTCCGCAATTAGGAGTTCAAGTGCAAGAACAATTGTTGCAACTGCCTCAGCCTTCTGCTTCTCCAACACAAAATGTACATGAACATGTGCAACAAAAGTCACTGAACTCTACCTCTCTTGAATCACAAGCAGTAGGTGAACAATTGCAGCAACTGCCACTGGATTCCACCACTCGTTCTTCACAAACGATACAGGAATAATTTGAGGATTCTTCCAATCATGAAACAAACAAACAATCCGAGGAACAAGGCAAGAACATATAAAATTTATTTCGTTAAATTAGCAAACAATATGGACGTGATATATGGTGATTATTCTTACTTAATATTAATGCAGGTCCTTCTGACGAAAAAAGAAAAAGAGGAAAAACTTTGATGCCAAGTGTTCATGGTAGGAAAGAGCGCAAACTAATTGTGCTAAACGAGAACAATCAACCCATAGGTCCTACTGGTGATGTTGTAGCAGAGTTGGGTAGCTTCCTCGGCACATTGGCAAGGAATGCCGCCTTTTGTCCTCTTAATGTGTTTAATTGGAGAAAACTTCAAACAAAAGAAGATATGTGGATATATATCAAGGTTGAAGTTCGCAATATTCTGTGTAGATATTTCATATTTTCATAGTAACCTAACTGTACCAAATTAATTTTGTAGGGAAAATATGATATTCCTGATGCTGCAAAAAGGTGGGTTTTTGATTCAATTCAGAATGCTTGGAGAAAGTATAAGAATCAACTATTTAACGACCATTATAAACCATATGAGAATGACGAGCTTCGAATGGAGAAAAGGCCGGTTGATGTTCCTGAATCTCAATTTAGGGATCTTCTTAATTATTGGAACTCTGATGCCTACAAGGTAAAACTAAGTACTGTCCTATGATTTGCTGAGAATGTCTGGTTTATGTTTAATTAGAAATCACTTTATTATTTCTATACATCAAATGCATTTAGGTTACATAACCTAGTGCAAAATTTAAGCTTCATTTGAATTTGTTGGGACAACTGAACTTGACAACTTTGTATTTATTGGCCGATTTGCAGAAAATGTCCCAAACCAATACCGAGAATCGCAAAAAGTTAAAATATCCACACACTGCTGGCAAACAAAGTTTTGCTCGAATACGCGAGGTTTGATATATTTTTTTTTCTTATTATTATTCTTTTAAATATGAACTTATTAACTTTAGTCCAATATATTTTTATACCACTTTTTTTATAATCAGGAAAAAAAGAAAGAAACTTGTGAGCCTCTATCAAGCAAGGACCTATTTGTGGCTACGAGAAAAAGAAAAGTTGATCGAGTATACAAGGCCTCGTATGCAGATACTCTTAATAAAATTGTACGAGTTATTAATTTAAAGTTTGTTGTTATCATTTGTCCGTTCTTAGTTATTGACTCAGTGTCATATACTTTCTGATTTAATAATGACTCAATTTGGTCTTGTAGGGTGAAATGGAAAGACTACAATCAACACAAGAAGGTGAAGATGGTAGTCAACCAGTTGATGCATTTGCATCAGTCATGGGACCTGAGCATCCAGGTCGCCTAAGATTGTATGGACGTGGGGTTACCAAGACTTCCTTAAAAAGAAAAGTGGGAGATTTGGGACCCTCAAGTTCTAATGATGAGGTGATGCAGCAAAAATTGGAGGAAATGGAAGAAAGGACACAGCAAAGATTGCAGGAAAAGTTCAATGCACAAAAAGATGCCATGGAACTACAAGTTGCAGTTAAAATCATTTCACAACTTAAGCATCTGAATCCAGATTTACGGGTTGATCCCAACATGCTAGGTTTCAATGCTCGTTCACCTGGAGAAGCTTCCTCTGCCCAACAAGCTGTTGTGCAACTAATAAATCGCCTATCTACTGGGAGTAATAATCAAGGTCAGTACGTCTATCTTTGTTTGTTTCTTCCTTTATTCTTCTTCTCCTTTGTTTGTTTCTTCCTTTCTTCCTCTTTATCTTGGTTTTCTGTACAAAGCCATCTATTGATTGGCAAAAGCAACATCTATTGTGTGGCTGGCTGGTTTTTGTATCTTTGGAACCTAAATCAATTAATCAGTCAACTACGTTTCAGTTATAGTAGACTCTCTAGATTGAAGGCTTTGTTTTCTTTGTGTGGCTGGCTGGTTTTCTTTTCTTTCTAAATTCTCATAGTAGACTCTCTAGATTGGAGGCTTCTGTCAACTAGCTATAGTTGGGCTTCGGTTTACTCTTCTCTCGTTTTCCCTTTGTTACATTGGTCCCAAGATAGATTTATAAGGGCATTCTTCAAAAGGATGCAAAATTTGCCTTTTCTGTTAAATCTTGGATGCAAATCTACACTGTAAAAACAGTGCTCTTCATGTTGTTGTTGACATACATCAGGCTTTATATATGGCATATGATCTAGTATATTGTAAAAATTGTATAGCTGTCTGAAGATAAATAAATCAAACATCACTTTTTAACTTAAGAAAAAAGCAAATAAAGTGATCCCGCAGTTGGCCTAGGGAAGATCTTCATAGCCTTCTGCTGTCTAGCCGCAGCACACCAGGAACTCATGAGACTAATTGCAGGTAATTCCAGTCAATTGTAGATGTTGATACTAGAGGCCTGTGAGACTATTCCTTTATTTTTCTCCTGGTTTTACCCATATTTTTCTGTAAGAAAGACTGCTGGACAGAGTTGAATGAAAAGACCGAATTGGAGGAAATTTTCACACGACTCTAGAGTGAATACTCACGCTGCTGGCCTGCAATCTCTTTCCTTTTACAGAAACACATGTAGAGGTTTTAAAGATATCAAGCTCAAGTTGTAACTATTGTGTGATTTTCCAGATTTAGAAATAAACTATTAATATGTTCATCCTTCCGCACAATCAAAATTAGTGTTCATACACCTATTTCTGCTCTCAGCAATGAAATTTCACTCCCAAAATTGACCATCTTCTTTGTTGAAGATGCGTAAATTAACTGGTACATAAAACTATACACAAAATGCAGGTTATTTAATATGACAACATGACTATCCCAGGAATGTACTCTATGACTATTGGGTACCAGAAAGTTGCATAACTAGGAGAGATGCACCTACAGCTGCACCTATCACAAGTTTATCTGCTGAACTCGTATTTTGTTTACCATTAGCCATTCTAAAAAATTGGCTAGTACCCAAAAAGACTATATTTATAGCTCAAATAAAAAAGCACTAAAAGTGTTGCTGAGAAAGCATTAACAACAAGCAAAGAGCTTTGGGTATTTGAAGAATTGGATTGAACACAATTGACCTCAAAATCACTAACTTTATTCCTTAGTCTAAATCTGAAGTAGTTGAATGAAGACTTTGTGCTTCATGCATTGTTTATGGACCTAGATGTTGTCTAGCCGCAGTAAATATTCTAGTACATTTGAAAACTTTGTGCTTTATGTATTGTTTATGGACCATACCCATTCTTATAATGATAAACCAACTAATGAAGGATAATGACTTTATTTATCCTCTTTTGTAGGTGGAGCAATTGAAGAAAGGGAAGATGGAGATTGTGAAGATCTAGACCTTACTTAAGAACTTTGAATTGTTGTCCATGTTCTAGGAATCTTTTGTTATCAACATTTGAACTAACTCTTGAAGTATTGATGTAAAACTTATATTATGTAATTATTGGGTTAAAATATTTTGGTTTTATGGAGTAAGTGTCGATGTAAAACTTATGTGATTGGGTTAAATATTTTGGTTTTATGGAGATAATATAGATTATGAAGTGTTTTATCAATGTAATGTTATATAAATTTCAGGTTGTTACAAATTTTATATATTTAAATATTCATTTACTGCCAGGGATCTAATAGCCTAATAGAACCGTTCCAATAGGTCTTACAAACCGTTCCAATAGGATGGCAAATCGTTCCAAGATAGTCTACAAGAACCGTTCCAATAGGTATTGAAAACCGTTCCATTAGGTCTTACAAATCGTTCTAAAATATGCAACAAACTGACACAATAGGTAGTTAAAACCGTTGCAAAAGAAATAAAACCGTTAAAGTAGCGTAATGAACCCGTTAGAATATTTGTAAATAAACGTTGCAATAGCTTACATAACCGTTGCAACATATTATATGGTAACGGCTGCCAACCGTTTCTATAGGCTATATGGCAACGGTTCTTAACCGTTACAACTGGAAAGCAATACTCGTTGCTTCAGGCAGCGGAACAACCGTTGCGATAGATATACCTTAAGCGACGGTTTAGGTAACCGTTGCAAGAACCGTTACTTTAGATCTACTGGCACGGCAGCGTATGTAACGGTTGCTAAACCGTTCCAATATCTCTATGGCAACGGTTTTTCTCTCTGTTGCAACGGTTTTAGGGCTGTTGCAATAGGCTCATTTTCTAGTAGTGTCCTTAAGTACTTGCAATAGTTGTTATGCCTGCACATCTAACAAACTAGATGAGATAATAACAGGTAATGTGGAGTCAGGTCTAAGGAACTCATACCTGAGATGGGCGAGCAGTGGCTTTAACTCAAGCTTTGGTAGTTCTTCGATGGATGGCTTGGCTGGGGGAGTTTCTCTATTTTCCAAGTGCAAGGGCTCAAATTCTAGAGTTTTATCCCAGAACCCTCTACCCTCTAACGCCAACACCCATTCCACCAGATCCTCTCTATTTACCTCATCCAAATTCATCAAACATGCAACAAAGGGGTCCTCAATAGTCAGCATTTCATCATTAGTCTCTACAATTACATCCACAACATCTATAAGAGAGCAATTGGCGAGTTCACTTGGTCACCTCATATATTTCTGCACATTGAATGTTATTTCTTCGTCGTTCAATCTCATCTTGAGCTCCCTAGTCTCACAATCAATTAGAGCTCTCCCCGTGGCCAAGAATGGTCTTCCCAAAATTATGGGAATCTCTTCATCCACTTTGCAGTCTAAGATCACAAAATTTGCAGCGAACACAAATTTCCCTACCTGAGTCAGCACATCATCCAGGATACCAGATGGTCGTTTCACAGTCCTGTCAGCCAGCTGCAACAACCTAGAGGTGGGTCTAGCTCTTCCAATGCCCAACCTCTTATAAATCTCTAGGGGCCTAAGATTGATGCTGGCTCCTGGATCACACAGTGCTTTAGCAAAAGCAAAATTACCAATGGTGCATGGAATTGCAAAGCTCCCTGGGTCAGACAGCTTTTCTGCAATTGGTCTAGTCACTACTGCACTACAGGTCTGAGTAAGAGTAATTGTGGCCATGTCTTGGAAATCAAACTTCCGGGACATCAAGTCCTTCATCATTTTTGCATACCCAGGCATCTCCTTCAAAGCTTCAATCAATGGTATGTTTACCTGGATTTGTTTCAGCATTTCAAAGAACTTCTTGTATTGCTCCTCCTTTTGGTACTTAGCCAGCCTCTGAGGGAAGGGTGCAGGAGGTCTCTTCTTCCCAATCAATTGGGATTGATCTTTATCAGCTGCTACATCAACTACTGGTTCCTGGACTGTTTCAGCTTCTTTCTCGGTCTCACGCTGAGTGCTATTTTCTTCCTGAGCAGGCTGGACTGTCACCTCTGTCAGTTTCGTTGGCTCATCCAGCTCAATGGGCATTGGTATGAGTGTCTCAGCCTGTCTATTCTCTCGAGCCCTTTCTTGCTCTACATCCAGATCTTTGCCATTGCGTAGACTCACTGCCATTAGCTGCTTTGGGCCTTGATCTTTTGGATTTATCTGTGTGTCTGCAGGTAGTGTCCCATGAGGACGATTGTTCAGAGACATCGAAATTTGGCCCACCTGCACTTCAATATTCTTGATCGCTGCATCATGTGCATCTACTCTCTCATTAATTTTAGCATTAGACCCAATAACCTGCTGCATCATTGCTTCAAGTCTAGCAAACCCATCTTCCTGCCTTCCACCATGCTGCTACTGAGGAGGGTGATACTCCTGCTGCTGATTCTGATTATTGTATCCATGTGGCCTTGGGTAAGGAGCCATATTGTTGGGGGGCCTCATACCTCCTATGTTCCCAGTGTTGAACTGTGGCTGGGCTGGCCTGTACTGCTGATTCTGCTGGCCCCAAATCTGACCACCCTGCCTCTAGCCACCATAATTAGACACATAGTTCATGTCTTCAGGATAATGATGATGATCAGGTTCTGCATTCCACTGGTTACCAATTGGTTGATTGATGCAAGATGTGCACAAACCCCCATTGGTAGTATCCACGATATGTACCTGTTGCTTCTGCCCTGACTCTTCCACCTTTTTAGTGAGTATACTCATCTGTGTCAATAAGGTGGCCATATTTTCAGCCATAGAGTTGGATGGATCGAAAGGCACTGAGTGCACCACTGGAGCGATAGGTGCATTCCTGGATGTCCATCCCGAATTCTGTGCCATCTTGTCAAGCAGACTCTGGCCGTCTCTCCATGTTTTGTTCAGAAATGCTCCACCAGCTGAAGCATCAACAATGTTCTTCACACTATCTGACAACCCCATGTAAAACCGCTACCCCAACATCATATTTGGAATACCATGGTGCGGACATATAACCAACATTCCTTTAAAACGCTCCCATGTCTCATGCAGTGTCTCCGTTGGTTTCTTTTTAAAGCTCAAGATTTCATTAATCTGTTGAGCAGTTTTGTTGGGTGTGTGGAACTTGTTATGGAATTGCTTGACTAACTCATCCCAAGTTGTTATAGAATTTATGGAAAGTGAGTTTAGCCAAGTCTGGGCAGATCCTGTCACTGAGAATGGAAACAATAACAGCTTGATTGCTTCCGGAGTTACGTTGCGCCGCCTTTGAGTTTTGCAGATAGACAGAAAATTCTTCAAGTGCTGCTGAGGATCTTCAACTTGTGACCCGAAAATAGTCCCTTGTTCTGCAACAATTGCAGCATGTTATACGTGATTTGGAACGACTCAGCTTGTATCTGTGGGACTACAATCGCTGTGGACAGGTTTTCAGCAGTGGGTTGTGCCCAATCATAGAGAGCAGCCTCTGGCACTATTGGTACAGCTGGGTTTTCCTCGTAATTGTCACACCTCCTTTTTTCCTACACCCCCGGAAGGGTATAGAAGGGAGTTTTTTCAATTAAAGGACAATCGAAACGGGATTATTTATATTAAAATCAGAGTCGCCATGTGGGAGATTTATGGTGTCCCAAGTCACCGGTTTAAATCCCGAATCGAGGAAAGGGTTGACTCTGTATATGTCTGCGAACACAGAAATCCGGTAAGGAATTCTGTTCACTCGGGAGAAGGTGTTAGGCATTCCCGAGTTCCGTGGTTCTAGCAAGGTCGCTTTGATTATACTTGGCTTATTAAATTGTCTAGTTACTTATTTTAGAACCTATGTGCTTTTGCCTCTTTCACCGCTTTTAATTTAAAAATTATCTTGAAACGGGTTACGCGTACGTATACCCATTTGTTTGGCGCGTCAAAAATCATGTCACGCGAACGTGTCCACAATTAATAACGCTTTATTATTATTAAGAAAATCTGGCCGAAGTTGCGCGAACGCATACTCCTGTTTTATTTTTAGAAATCGTAATCATGTCACGCGAACGTGTCCACAACCACGATAGTATATTAAACGTGCCTAAAGCAAACTACGAACATTTGTCATTTTATATCTAAGTCATAATTAATACGAGGGCCATATGTGATTTAATTATGGATGGCACACCTACACTTAATTAAAGAAGATTATACTAATAACAAATTTATTATTAAGAAAGGTTTGATCGAAGATGCGACCCCAAGTCATGTATAGACTCTATAGCTTCGCAACGGTATAGCACAGAAGAGGATATACCATTCTTCATAGCGTCAAAAACAATACCTTCCAATAATAAATTTGAGTTGCCAATGAGGTTCAGTGTCTCTTCTGCCATTCTAAAAGCATCAGCAAACAATATTTTCAAAAATTCCTCCACATCTTTTTGCATACCCAAGAAAGTTCAAATTGAGGTCCATTAAATCATGAAAAAGAAAAGGGATGAGGTGCTAAGACTTAAAGGAATTATTAGGGAATGGCCGATTTTGTGAAATCACTGAAGGAGGAGGCCGTTCTTTTCTCTTGATTGTGAGTGCAATATTAAATTTTTCTCATCCACACCCTTGAGCTAGTTACAACAGTGCTAGGTAATGAGTACTTAACACTATTTTTTCCTATTTCTCGAGATCAATAGGCACAATTCCTATAATTTCAAAGAACAAGAACTGAACATTTAAAAGATCTCGTGAACCCGATGAAGCCAGCAGAATTCTCAAAATGCGCCAAAGCAATCAAGTATATAGCAGTAGCTTGGAGATTAACTGATATGAATTACTCAAATCTGAATACTTATCAAATGCAATGGGGTATAAACAAACTGAATACTAACAAAGCACATTCAGGGAATAAGAAGTGAACTATATCAGATTAAGAAAAGAAATGAACCTCAACCAAAACGTCGTCTTCACTATTATAACTAAAACAGTCTCCTCAAATAGCAAATCTGGATCCGAGATTTAGAAAGAAAGAAAAACAGGGACAACAATAATCAGAACCGGAACTATGATCCCGACACTCGATGACCAACCCTACTGACTTGAACTCCCTCAGAACGACAGAAACACGAACGAACTGAAACGTAACCCATGAACAACAACCACTGACCAACCTGAAGCTCGCCGGAATTTCAAACTTGAACTCAAATCAGTGGGTTTCTTTTTTTAGCTTATCTTTTGGAATCTTGAAAGATGAATGTCACAAACAACTCAAACCATATCAAAGAAGCACACATGGATCTTTATCAACAATGAACTAGGATAGTTTCAAACTCGAATCATCAAGAAACGCATAAATCTAGCGCGAAGCTGACACGAATTTAAACTAATTCTTAGCTAAATTGCTAGCATATATCAACAGAATCCAAAACTGAAAAGAAGAAGCCAGAAAAGGATTTCCAACATTTCGGATTCAAACTATAAGAGGCTTTCGAATTCTCAGCATGTCAAAGGTGGTTTCAGCACTCACTCAAAATTCAAACTGCAACAGCAAATATTTACTCATTTTTGTTTTTTGAAACTCTAACTTAACCAAAAGGAACCTTTTGAAGAACTGAACTAATCACAAAAAAATGACTCGACTAGAATTTAACAAAGAATTGTAACAGTTCTAAATGCTGAGTCGAACTGACGAGATCGACAGCAATCAATGAACATCAAATGACAAACTCAAAAATCAGTTGACACATACACAGCCAAACCAAACCAGAAATACTGGTGCAAATGACAAACAAACACATTACGACCAACAGTCACCGAGATTTATACAGTTCTAAACCAGCTGAACTCAAACCCTCAATACATCTTTTAATCAAACACCAAAGATAGGCTACAGGAGATTAGAAATGAACCTGAATCCTCAAACTTCAATTAATCTCAGAAGCAGAAATACAAGAAAATTAAGCAGTGAAAATCCAAAGCCAGCAGCAGCCAAGAAATAGAAACTAGCAACCACGAATGAGCTTCGATCTTAACTCGAGTCGACAAACGACTCATTCGAACTTCATACTTGACACCCGAAATCCAGAGTAAAATAGATGAAAAAGTAAAGGCGTAGGAGAAATCGAACCACTATATCTTTTTTGTATTTTTCTTTTTTCTGGAATTGAAACTAAACTAAAAAATAAATCCCAAAATTAAAGCTCTCTATCAATCAACTTCGAACACAAGAAATCAAGAGAAAATAAAAATGAAAATCAGAAATTTCACTCCTTAGAACCTTAGAACTTTTCTCTCAATCCCCCCCTCTTACCCGAAAATAGTCCCTTATAAATCCAAACTCCGGATTCTTTCTTCCTCTTCAAGAAAACGGATAAGGCTCTCTTGAAACCGAGCACATGATCAATGTGAGGCTCGGATTAAATGAGATCGATCCGACGCCTCTCACTCATCCAACACCCCTCTTCTAGAGCCTTCTAATCCGCGTGAAATAGCTTGAAAACGGGCGAGTGAGGGAGGGAACCTTGTTGTTGTCAGAGGCCGTTACTCCTATGTGGCAAGAGGAGAGAGGGGGAAGGCGCGTGAGGTGAGTTAGGGTGAACTCGGGCGAGTTTGGTGAAGGAGAAGATGAACAGTGGCTTTCTGCGCAGCTTTTGGGGTCTTTGGGACTTAGGTTTTTTTTTTGTGAAATAAATTATACAGAACTTTCATATTGGGGTGGGTCAGAGACGGGTTTAGGTCTGATTTTCTTGGGCTGGGGCGGTTGGGATGGGTTGGGCATGGCTCTTTAAAGAAGAAGAAGGGTTTGGGCTGGGTATTTGCTTGGATTTTGGCCAAAATTGGTTTCTTTCATTTTTCCTTTTTCAAAAATCTTTTTAATTCCTTTTCTTTTTATTTTTTTTNAATTAAGCATGGTGACTAGGTATATTCCTATCCTAACCACAATCCGTCCCCCTAAGAGTTAAGATCGTGCTCTCTCCAATTATTCGCTAATCTAAACACGACTTTCCGAATCATAGCATAGATAGTAAATAGAAC